CCCGGGGGGGGTGGGGGGGGGCCCCCCCCTCCCCCCCGGGTGTGGGAGATTTGTTGTTCGGGGGGGGGGGGGGGGGGGGGGGCACCTGGGATCCCCCCGTGAGCTCCCCGGTGGACCCAGAAGTGGACCGGAAGTACTTCCAGTCCACTTCTAGGTCTGCCACCAAGCATGCTAGGAGACCCCCTGTGCTCCTGTGGGACTCTCCATCCGCCCCAGCATTGTAACCTTCACAAGCTGTGCCTGGTACCTCGAGGTATGTAGAAAAAACATTTAAAGTTATGGCTGTGTCCAAATTGCTAATTCTCCAAATGAGCATTGAGTCTTTGGATTCAGATTCGGCCAAATCAAATCAGGGACAGTGATCCAAATCAAGGGATTGAATCACTGTCCCCAATTCGGGCCGAATGCGAATAGAATAGAGCCCATTTTGCCCACCCCTAATGGCAACAGTATTCTTGTATTGTTGGGGATTAGACCAGAAATACTCCAACTTCCAATTGCATTCAGGTATGCCTAGCCAAGAACAATGAATAACTGTAAGAGAGAAGGGGGCAGAGAGTGAGCTCAGCTGAAATAGTAGCTGCTCTGTTTGATTGCTGGTAGCTACTGAACCCCTGTGGAAATAATAAATAAATAAATAAAACGTTATTTTAATGGATACACAAGTCACATGCTGAAACTGCACAGACATTTGAATTCCTTTTTGTTTCTGAGAAAATATATCACATTGCCTCTCACTTTCTACATCCACCATGCTAATGGCAGTTGTACATTATCAAGAGAATACATGGAGTACTATGTCTTTACAGTGTACTGGGGATTCCTCCTCTGTTCTCAGTCTTTATTACTTTGCTGTGGAACAGGGCTGTTTTTGCAGTTTTAGGAACCAACTTGGTTACAAAGTAGTGTCTGGTTTCCATGTGCAAGGGCTGAACAGCCTTCAAGTCAAGTTTCTTGCTGCCTTGTGAAGACTTTATGCGCTATTAATGTGAATTGTGGTCAGTTTTGGAACAGGACCCAAAGCTGCTTGTTAGACGTGAACCTCCTCCCTCAATTCAAATTTCACTCTTTTGTTCCCTCTTTAGCTCATTTCTTCCTCATTATTCTACTGCTCTTTCCCATGTCAACAGTCAACGCATTATGCTCAAGCCTTTACCAGATATTCTGACTACCCTTTCATTCTCATAATGTGCTAGCCTAAATCTGACTAGAAATATTAGATCCATGATATCCCTCATCTTTCAGACTTTACCCAATAACAGACATTGCAGCATTTTCAGCAGAACTTAGGGAAATTGCTACCTGATCCCTAGCAAAGACATATCCTAACTTTT